AAACAACAGCGATGCACGGCTTGGGAACTGCAGGGGTTAAACCCTGCCCTGCCAGCCGGGCTCATGGAAGTGGAGCAGCCACCAAGGCTGGGGCTGCCCGGGAAACCCCAGGGAACAGCGGGAGCCCCGAGCAGCAGCGCTAATGAAGGATGGAGAGGAGAGGGATAGACACAGGGAGAGGGATAGACACAGGGAGAGGGACAGGGACAGGGACAGGGACAGGGACAGGGACAGGGACAGGGACAGGGACAGGGACAGGGAGCGCTCCCCAGGCTGCTGCCGGGCGGGGATGGCAGCGGTGTCCGCAGCCAGCCCCTCCGCCTCTCTGGGCAAACTCACACAATGATTTCTCTATCGTTGTCGCCCACTTTTTCCTCCCCAGCCTCAACTTTTTTCCCACTGTGCCGTGAGCGTAGGAGCCCTCAGCGCCGCAGCAGCCGGGCGTGCCCCCGCCACCCTCCGCAGTGTCCCCACCGCGCTGCCACAAGCAATTAAAGCCGGGCAGGCGGAGCGAGGCAAATCAGATTAAATAGCTGCAAGGAGATTAGGGAAAAAATAAAAAGAAAAAGAAGCAGCTTCCCCAGAGAAGCCTTCTGAAGGCCGTGTCAGGGCAAGGAGCCATCTCCATCCCAAATTCCCCCCGCAAGGCGCTCCCGGGATGGGGCTGCTGCCGACGCTCCCCGCCTGCCCCACGGGGAGCGGGCTCAGCCCAAGGCTCGGGCACCGGCTCCGCAAGCAGTCATTAGTGCCCTGGCTTAATGAGCGTGATTAGCATCGCATCCCCAACAGCTTTACCCGAGGGTGCGAGGGGGATTTCCCGCAGGGGGGACGGGACACGAGCCGAGGGCATTTGGGGGTGGTGGGAGGTGCTGGGGGGTCGCAGCCGTGGGCACCGCGGTGGGAGACAGCCGCCAGCCCTGCCACCCCTCTGTCCCCAGCCTGTCCCCACTGAGCCGGGCAGCCTGGCTGGGCATCCCCGGCAGGACAAGAGCCCGGTACCGGTACGTGTGCCTGGATGGGTGAGCGATAATCGTCGTGCCAGCAGAAGTCCTTCCGATAGATGCTCTTGTACTTGTCCAGCGCGGCGGGCAGCTGGCAGGGAGGGAAGCAAACGCAAGTCACCACTAAGACTCGGGGGAAGCCTTCAAACGCGGTTCTACAAACCCAAAATGCTCCCTCAGAGCTCAGGAGAGGATGAGCTGCTCTTCTGAGCCACCTGGGGCCAGCCCAGCAGGGCGATTCCTTGCTCAGTTAAGCGCCAAGCAGGGTG